TCTTTGGAGATTGAATTTTGTTAAGTTTTTTAGTTTTTTTTTAATCCTTAGGTAGTTTTTAGTTTTCTTTTTCAAAATAATTTAACTTATGTGATGCCAAGTTTCATTTATGCAAGTTTAGCTTAATTTCTTGTCAAAAGTTTCTCAATTCAGCCTATGATTATTTAATTCCTCAATGTTGAAGGACATGCAAAGACTTGGAGCATGAATGCAAAGGAGGGTGCAAGTGGGCTCAAAAATAATCAAACATGCCGAAGTGTTTAAGACAAAAATTGAGCTTTAGATATCCGATCGAGGTGAATCTTGAACCAATGAAAATCTAAGAGGATGAACTACAACTTTGATGTTTAGCACTTGGCCCACATCAGAAAGAATCATGGCCAAAAATGAAGTTGAAAGTGAGGTTCATAGTAGCTCTATACTAGGTAGTTTGAAGGAGAAAAATATGGAAACAAAACCTCCAGCACTACATTGATGGTAGTCCGGATGGGATTTAGCAAGCCATTGTAGAAGGTCCGCACTTGCAACCACTTGGGGAGGCTGTGGTGTGGACATCTTCAAAGCAAGTCTTTATACCTCTCCCATGCTTCGTATAAAAACTCGAAATCCAACTACGTGAAAGAAATGATGTCGTTCCTTATCTTTGCTGTCTTCATGGGGGGAAAAAACTTGGCTAGAAACTTCTGTGCAAGGTCATCCCAAGTAGTGATGGAGCCAATGGGATGGGAGTTCAACCACACTTTTGCCTTATCTCGTAACGAGAAAGGAACAACTGTAGTCGTATAGCATCGTCAATGACCCCATTCTGCTTGAAAGTGTCACAAATCTCCAAAAAATTAGCAATATACACGTTGGGGTCATCATTGGGCAAGCCTCTAAATTGAGCTGATGTTTGTATCATTTGGATAATAGCCTGCTTGATCTCAAAGTTGTTAGCTTGAATTGATGGCTTCCGGATACTTGAATGAAGACCTTGTACCAAAGGGACTGCATAATCTCTTAAAGATCTATTATCTACTACTTCATGCTCCTGCATGTGTTGTTCTCTCTAATTTCCAGCCATGTTTTCAACTTGCTCACCGTCT